GAAAAGAACTCTGTTTGTTTTTCCAGCGATGACTGCCTGAGTTCGCGTGAGAAGGTGACTGAGATTCTCGGTGTCAACGGGCGATTGTCTTGTATAGACTTTCTCGCGCTGGGATATCTTTAGATCATCGAGCAAGTATCCGCGAATGTCACCAGCTGGGGCACTATTGTGAGCGGGAAGTGCTGTGAGGTGAATCTAAGATATACATACCAGCGAACAAGTATTCAGTAAGCAATACGCCACAAGTGGGGTGTTTGAGGTGCACGTTAGAAGGTTATAGGCTAAGTCGGATAGTTTCTTCCTTGCGATCCATCGAGTGGCGGCTGATCAGTGGGGGGTGGGGGTAAAGGAGCTTATCACACAAGGTGCTTGTTCCGAAGATGAGGATACCGTCACTGACGTGACTTGTGCGACTTCTTGCCCGAAGGCACAACACTGGGTGGGGGTAAAGGAGCTTATCACACAAGGTGCTTGTTCCGAAGATGAGGATATGACATAGCTATGATGCTGCGGGCTTGCTTGGGATTGATGAAACAGCTATCAGTCACAAAGATGAAAATGAAGAAGACGTGACTTTGGGGTCGGTGTGGGTCATACAAACTGGCAACGATCATCAATCAATCAACGCTTCACACAATATTGGATGAATACTTGGTGAGACCCTGCAACACGTACATATGAACAAATAACGCGACGCGTAATTAGCGATCAGAAATGATGATCCTAATTCCCAGGGTGTTGAAGACCCTTTGAACAGGTCGATCTCGTCCCCAGAAACAAACCTCGAGAAATATCAGAATATCCATAGGAGATAGGTCGTGAGGGTCGGTATATAGGTGTTTACCCAGTCCTTAAGAGTCTCGAACGTGACACACGCCCTTGACATCAGGACCAAACAAGGTGGCTTAGTCAGTGATTATCATAAAACCTCAAGGCGGCGGCAACGACTGTTCCTTCACCTCCTACTTTCATCCCCTCCTCCCACTCATTTACGGGTCGCCGTAGCATTTTGTCGATAACTTCTAATTGACGATGGCGTATGTTTTCAAGCGAGGTATGTTGTCTCTTCGCCTTGTGATTCGCCATGTTGACCCCTCATTTCACGCAGACGGGTGAGTTGGGGCGCGTTGGGACGCGTCTTAAGGTGTCTGATCATCCTTATCGTCCTCAGCCGCAAGGAACGCGTGCAGTTCGATAAAGTATGCCAGAAATGACGCGTTTTACCTCATCATTTAATAAGTTTTGGTGTAGATCACCTCGAGGATCGAGAAACTTTGCTATGGCCTTGATACCAACTATGTAGACCCCATCGAGTGTGTTCCTACAGTTCTTACATTCATTCTTTGAGCCTCTAACGTCTTTAAAGGGTCACCCAGAAGGTTGTGCAAGGAGTGTATCAGGGTGTAACGACAGTCGAGCTTGATGTAGGCGTGCTCTCCCTGTGGTTGTCAGCTGTCTCATTGTTTGTGATAGAATCTTGCTTCAGAAACGGCTGCCTATCTCACGACGAAGCACCCCGATTATGCTGTGTTGGCGGCGCGCATTGCTATCTCAAACCTACACAAAGAGACCAAGAAGACTTTTTCCCAGGTCATCAGCGACCTGTATCATTATGGTGATTGGACTTTGCCGCTTCCTGCCTTCGTAGCTCATTTTTTGCAGTTAACCCGAAGAACGGACGCCCGGCGGGCATGATCTCTCAGGGGACCTATGATGTGGTTATGGCGAACGCTGATACCCTGAACTCGGCCATCATATACACGCGTGACTTCAATTATAACTAGTGAGCTCCAACCATTGCCTACGTTCGCCGACTGTATGTATTGACGGTATTTCTAGCTTTGGCTTTAAAACTCTCGAGCGTTCCTATCTCCTTCGCATCGACGGACGCGTAGCTGAACGACCTCAGCATATGATTATGCGTGTTGCTGTCGGTATCCATGGCAGCGACATGGATCATGTTATCGAAACCTATAACCTCATGTCCGAGCGTTACTTCACTCATGCCTCTCCAACACTATTCAATGCTGGAACACCTCATCCCCAACTGAGCTCCTGCTTCTTGGTTTGCATGAAGGACGATTCGATTGAGGGTATTTACGACACCCTCAAGAATTGTGCCATGATCAGTAAGACAGCTGGTGGGATTGGTTTAAGTATCCATTGCATTCGTGCTACTGGGTATGATTGATCATCCATCATTTCAAATGGCTACTCATTCTTGCTAGGTCATATATTGCTGGCACTAATGGCTACTCGAATGGTATCGTTCCGATGCTCCGCGCTTATGACGCAACCGCCCGCTATGTTGATCAGGGTGGCAACAAGCGACCTGGTGCATTCGCTATCTATCTTGAGCCCTGGCATGCGGATATCTTCGATTTTTTGGATCTTCGCAAAAATCACGGCAAAGAAGAAGCCCGTGCTCGCGACCTTTTCTATGCCCTCTGGATCCCAGATCTCTTGTGAGAATCCCTCGAGCTGATTATTCTCGTGTTTTGACAAAGGTTATTCAGCATGAAACGAGTTGAAGCCAATGGCGACTGGTCCCTTTTCTGTCCCAACGAAGCACCGGGTCTCCATGACACATGGGGACCCGAGTTCGAGGCCCTGTTTGAGAAATATGAGAAGGAAGGCCGTCAGCGAAAGACCATTCCGGCGCAGAAGTTGTGGTATGCTATTATGGAGGCCCAGATTGAGACGGGCGGACCCTTCATGGTGTATAAGGATCATGCCAACTGTAAGTCACATTGTCCATTCTTGAAGTTTAGACTTTCTTACATTGTATAGTGAAATCCAACCAGAAGAACCTCGGAACTATCAAATCCTCCAATCTTTGCACAGAAATTATCGAGTATTCGTCCCCTGAGGAAACTGCTGTCTGCAACCTCGCCTCCCTTGCTCTGCCGACGTTCATCAGCAATGGGAAATATGATTTCAAGAAGTTGCATGAAGTTACCAAGGTCGTTGCCAACAACTTGAACCGCATCATTGATGTCAACTACTACCCCATTCCCGAGGCTCGCCGCTCCAACGTACGCCACCGCCCCATTGGTGTCGGCGTGCAAGGTCTCGCCGATACATTCATGGCCCTTCGAATGCCGTTCGACTCTGCGGAGGCCAAACTACTCAATATCCAGATCTTCGAGACCATCTACCACGGTGCCCTTGAGGCTAGCTCTGAGATCGCCGCTCGTGACGGCGCCTATGAAACTTACGAAGGAAGTCCCGCCTCTCAGGGTCAGCTTCAGTTTGACCTCTGGGGCGTCACTCCAACAGAACTATGGGACTGGACCTCCTTGAAACAGCAGATCACTCGTACTGGTCTGAGAAATTCGCTTCTCGTCGCTCCTATGCCCACGGCTTCCACGAGTCAGATTCTTGGCTTCAATGAATGTTTCGAGCCTTATACGAGGTGTGTAGTATGTGATCAATAGCACGGAGCTGGAACTGACATCTCAAAAAGTAACATCTATACTCGTCGCGTTTTGGCCGGCGAGTTCCAGGTTGTTTGTCCTTGGCTTCTTCGTGAGCTAGTCAATCTGGGGCTGTGGGATGACAACATGAAGAACATGATCATTGCTCACAACGGCTCCGTCCAAAATATTCCCAACATTCCTGATGACGTTAAAGCGATCTACAAAACTGTTTGGGAGATTAGCCAAAAGAAGGTTCTTGACCTTGCCGCCGACCGTGGTCCATTTATCTGCCAGAGTCAGAGCCTCAATGTCCACCTCCAAGCCCCGACGCTCGGTCAGTTGACTAGCATGCACTTCTACGGCTGGAAGAAGGGCTTGAAGACAGGAATGTACTATCTTCGCACACGACCAGCAGCTCAAGCCATCCAGTTCACAGTCGATCAGAGCGTCCTCAAGGAAGTGAAGAAACAAAACACAGCCAGTGCCGGACGTCCTGTCGTTGATGGATCCAATGGCATTCCTACTCCGACCTCTTCTCCTTCCCCACTCCGCGCCTCCTCGAACCCCGTCCCATCTTCGTCGGAGCCACCGACGTCCACCGCTCCTTCAGAAGCCCTCGCTTCCTTGTCTCTTGATGAGAAAACAAAGAAAGCTGCGGAAGAGGATCCCGAGTTTGCCGCCGCTCTCCAGCGGCAAAAGGAGCGCGAGCTTGCTGATGCAAAGCTGCAGTGCTCTCTTGAGAACAAAGAAGCGTGTCTCATGTGCTCTGGTTGAACGCCTGTATCCCGACCCCGATTCTTTGCTCTGTAATTGTAATCTAGTTTGCTATGCTTCGTTTTCTCGATTTTTGTATGCCTTGTCTTATGTTGTCGTTCTACGTTCCTAATTGATCTAGATAGGCCTTGTACCACTAGTCACACTCGAATAAAAACTCTGTCGGGCTTGTCTCAAGTCGTCCGGGGAAAGAGGGTAGGCAAAGTGGGTTGCATGATGAAATTGAGATATTATTACTATGCAGGCGGGGCAATACAGGAGTGTATGTTGCAAGCGAGCGTAGTGGGGCAGGTGAGCTGTTGAAGAAAGACATTGAGCGAAAGCCCGGACGGGCTTCCCTGCCTTGCAGAGAGCAGGCGGTAGGGGAGACTTAGCTGCGATGGGTGGGAAGAACCCATCGCGAAATCACGGGCGAGAGAGTTCGGGCTGGGAACTCGCTGGTCCGGTCTCTGCTCTTGCGATGCTTTCGACTGGAGGACGGAGCAGTGTGGGTGCGGAGGGTGGGGGAAAAGCGAGGTGGACAGCGAGCTAGCTTGCGGTCACTTCGTGGGGAGGAGAGGAGCCATGCGTAACGTGACCGTGACTGTGCCCACGAAGACTGTTGTCTGCTCTATGGCAGACCCTTAAATCTTTGTGACATGGGACCCTGTCCTTGAACCTGAATCACTGAAGTTGCAACCCTTATCACGTACGACCCTGCATTCGTTATCTGATCCGAACTCAGAGATAATTTCGTCGATTGCCCTTGGTCGATATTGCTCAATCCCCTTCATATACTGGGTGTCCATTCGCAACGGATTTTCATCAGGCGAGATGGCCGAGCGGTCTAAGGCGCCAGACTAAGGACCAGGATATACAGATATCCTCCTTTCCTCCTCAGGGGAATCTGGTCCTCCGGGGCGTGGGTTCGAATCCCACTCTCGTCACAATGTTTTATTAATGTTTTATTCCATCACGGACTGGCGGGTTGGTGACAAACAAACTTTTTCCACCCGCAATCGCGATAAAGTAACAACTCGACATAAACATGGAAAATGAGATTAATGAGAATCTCTCTATCTACCTACAATCGGCACGGTCAGAAAAAATGTAGTGACTCGACTGACTGACTGATTGGCGAATCGTTTAGAGTTGTTGGATAGGGGACACAAATGCAACCAAATAAAGCTCCCGTTGGTCAGGCCAGGGGTGGGAATATCTGTTTTCGGGTTGAAAAAGGTGGCTGTATGTCGCAAAAACTCATGACGAGAGTGGGATTCGAACCCACGCCCCGAAAGACCAGATTCCTTGGAGGAGGAAGGGAATGAACACCTCTGTGCCCTGGTCCTTAGTCTGGCGCCTTAGACCGCTCGGCCATCTCGCCTTGGGACAGAAGGAATGAAGTGAGCATCCGGTCGGCAGGATGATGAGGACCCAGCATGGTGCTGTACAGTGTATGTATATCAACGTTTGGTAAGTCAGGGTTGTTCGCGGACCGCATCTCCGGCGGATCATTTTAACGTTATTGGATAAACATTGCAGAATTTACCCAGGTCAGAATTCGGGGGTTGGCCGGCCAGAAAAGGTAAGCTGTGTATGGGTAGTCCTCAGTCCGGCAACTGTGTCAGCAAAAGAAAAGGCAATGACGAGAGTGGGATTCGAACCCACGCCCCGGAGGACCAGATTCCCCTGAGGAGGAAAGGAGGATATCTGTATATCCTGGTCCTTAGTCTGGCGCCTTAGACCGCTCGGCCATCTCGCCCGACATGAGAGTGAGGCCTGAGGACATGGCAGACCCCATATCTAAGTCGCGAAGAACAAGGAGGAGCAACAACAAGCTCTTCGTAGTATCTGAGAAGAATGACCCTGATGATCTTATTTATTATGTCATTGATTTAGCTGTCCTAAGTAACAGGGTCATCAAACCACACCATCTACTTAACACCAACACGTCGATGGTGAAGTGGTTATCATGCTTGCCTTCCACTGCGGTTAGCAAGCGGCACGGGTTCGATTCCCGTTCGACGTAGTGTTTTTGAAAGCGTGAGGCGCCTACACTACAACTCACATCATATTTATAGAGTTTGACCTCCGAGAAACTCTGACTCGTTCCTCGTTCGAGGTTACCCATCATAGCGTTGGCTGAACGTCCACGGCAGAAATCCAAGATTCTCGTAATCAATCGTTCACAAAGTCTCTGATCACATCATCCCCTCCAACCCGGTGCTCGAACGCACCTTCACCTGGCTCTTCTCCAGCCGTCTCCTCAGGGTTTAACACCATTCTGGAACCAGTGGAATACCTTTGTCCCGGCGAAGAATGGCTTCTGATTCCGCACAGCTACAAGCGAGTCTTCATCCTGGCGCGGATGGTCGCCTATCAAATCATCATTCTGCAAGCGCCTTCTGTAGGTGTATATTTCAACAGGCTTCACCACCTGATACGAATCTGGTGAACACCCATAGACGAATATACTATACCGAGGATGACGCGGCAGGCACTGATGCTCTGTTGGCGACTCCAGAGCGTAGAAGGGGAATTTGGTAGAAGCAACGCCAAGTTCAAGGATAAACGTGATACATGGCAAATTGGCATCTGCACGCGCCTTGTCAATACGATCGAACATATGAACACGCTTGTCCGGGGTCTGGTGCTTCGCTTTTGTACCACGTTGGGCGCGTAACTTTATTTGGATGAGAATACCTGTCATATCATCGACAAAGAACCCGAAACTCTTTTTGCGTGGCGGCATCCAGATAGGAATAAATGTATCGATGCTCTTGGCATTGTCCTTTGTGATAGCAGCCATGTTTCGAACGAAATATGCGAGTGCTGCGTCCGGGGAGGGCATAGGGTCGTCCGCCCACTTTGTCCAATGAGTAAAATTTATCATAGCGCCTTCAAATTTCTCGCGGAAGGGGATACCTTGAGCCTTTCGCAGATTAATAGGCAAAGAGCCCAGCAACTCTTCGGCACCGTCAGTCGCAAGTAGTTCCTCGATGAACATGTTGACTGGTGCAGGTCGACTGAAGTGAACTGGAACGCCACTTTCTGATTTACCACGTTGGTGCCTGATAGCTGTAGCATCACGGGCGCGGGTGAGTAGGATACGCCCTGTCGCCTCGCCAATCTCGTCGTGCGCTAGGAGGTTGTAGTCAAGGTTGGAAAATAGAATTTTTAGTGCAGGATCAATCTCGCTCGGTGTTGATTACTAGGGATTGCCACCTGAAACGGATATGAATGCGGCACTGGCTAATCGAGAATGATGCATACATTGGTCGATCAAAAATCGCCATATAGACGATGTCGCTGAGATCATCCACCGTCATGCGAGAGGGTTTGAGCACCGATGGTTCAAAGCAGTCAAACGGAGTTTCGGTGATAGGCGCATGTAGATCCCCCGCCTCTCGGTATCGTGCCGACCCTGCAAGCTCTCTACGCAGGCCTCAGCCAGCGCTATGAACTCTTCCCGGGAGTAGCTCCCCAGTATTTTATTAAGGGCGCCATAGCTATATTGGATGATTTGGTTAGGAAACTCCCCCCCAGCCCTGATGATGAGCATTTCGATGTTGAGATGCCCTTGGTGTGCAAATATTTTATTGTTGGCACGTTGTATTTGTTGTAGAATAGACCTGGTGAAGGGGTCTCGTCATATTGCCGACTATTTTCCTGTTTACGTCGGCAGTGCATGTGTTGTTTTCTATTCTCCTATTGGACATTGTGGCATCACGATTCTCCTCGTTTTTACATAAGCGTGCAGTACTACCAAGCGGATTTTCCAATGTGTACACCTCAGTTTCGTCTGTGCGATACTGAGGTGAGTTATCTGTGTTACAAAGCCGTATTCTTTATTCCTTTTGTTAACGACTTTTCCTAGTGATACTCTTTTTATAGGTACACTAATACATTCTCAGTTTCGTCTATGCGATACTGAGTGATACTCTTTTTATAGACACGTCACTCGATCTTAGACTGTGCAACATCAGTATTTCCCCCTTGGGTGGCAAGTCTGGGTCATCCTCAGCGATATAGTGGATCTTCTTCGGCTTTTTGACGGTGTCCATCGCAGTTGAACCTGGAGGAGCCAACAAAGACATGCGTGTTGCAGACAGGATGTTGCGAGTTCTTACAAACAGCCATTTCGGTTTAGTTTGTTCCACGTGATGAGTGATGTTGTTGGACTCTCTATTTCTATACCACTACAAGCAAACCTGCTACTAAGTATGTGATGGGCGTATTCTATGCTAAGACTGCGCCTCTCGGCAGGGATGAGACTACGTTACGGTAATATAGGTACTGAGTTGCTATGCGGAGCGTTCCGGTTGAGGGAGTTGTTGATCTGGTATATAGTATGATGGTGGGAGGGTTTCTGTATCAATAATTAAGGCAGGATGATCACAGGTAAATAATGGGGAAGGTGAAAAGTAGTGAAATGGCAAAAAGGAAATGGCGACTTGCGACGGTTAGATGGTTACCCTTAGTCCTCGTGTAGCGTTGACCGGACGTCCAAATCCAAGCCAACGTGACGGGTGGCTACGCATGTGGTCATGCAATACCACCGCTTCGGAGAGCCCTGCTCATGTTGAAACTGCTGGCTGCTCTAAGCCCTCGTACGGTATGGTCACATATGTGTTGCTAGATTTCTGCTGTGGACGTCCGGCCTCAATACTTAGTGCTCAGTTCTTGTTTGAATTTTCTTCCAGCATCTTGTGGATGAGTCTGTCTGCGGATCACAAATTAGAAACATACCCTGTTGGGTGACACACATCAAAACGGTCGAATATTAACACGTCGATGGTGAAGTGGTTATCATGCTTGCCTTCCATTCCTGTGAGCAAGCGGCACGGGTTCGATTCCCGTTCGACGTAATATAACGCATTCCTTTTTGCCTCCGAAAGAATGCGAACAAATAATCCACAATAGATGATGACATGGCGAGCGCGTGGTCGAGGACGTGTCAAAGAGGTCAACTCACCTCCGTGCCTTTCCCCGGCTCATTCTTTTCAAACCTGGTCTCAGCCGGTTGGTTATATTGTTCTCCTGAAACATACACTATAGGGTCATGCCAGTTGGGATTGAAGCTTGGATAACGCAGATTCCGCCTATTACTCGTGGATGGCTGGCGCTTTCAGTGTTGATCAGCCTGGCTGTGGTGCGTGTGTTTAGATTTGCTAGCAGTACAGGTTACTGACTACTTTCATCCGTTTCAGCAATGTCAGCTTGTCACCCCTCTGCAATTATATTTCAGTTGGAAGAGCGCGTTTGGAAATGCACAGGTGTGATCATACTTCTTCACCAATTTCCCTCGCTGGTGACTGAATAGATATAGCCATGGCGTGCCATAACCACATTTTTTTATTTTGGGTCAATATCGCTGGATTTCGTCTTTCATCTCTTCTTCTTGTGAGTGCCTCATACCGCAATCGTCTCGTTCCGATATCCTGACAAGTGCAATAGCATGCGATACAGTAGAATGTTGGAGGAATCCTCGTTTGCGAACAAGAAAGCAGACTACTTTTGGCTCCTCCTCCTTTCTTCCGTCATGCTGCTTGTATGTTTTCATTCTACTCCTTGGCGACTTTGATGTAACGAGACACTAGGGTCTTTCCCCTCTCGTCAACCTCCCTTTCCTCTCCTCGTCTCTTGCATTCGTGCCAATATACTTATGGTCAAGGCGCCACCCTTCAACGCCAATTTCACTGTTTGGCTTGTTTACTGTTAGCGCCCCTTACCTTCCAATCGCGTTAGTCGCATTCTCTTGGGTTCTCAATGGGACTTGGAAGGCGGCTGTGGCGGATTTGGCCGGTTGCGCAGTGGGTCATATCGGTTGGTTCTTGAGAGACGTTTGGACAAGGGAAATGGTTGGCGGTCCAACCATATTCAGTCAAGCCCCGGAGGTGCTGTGAGCAATGATTTATTCTCTTGTATTCAGTCTTGAAAATTGAACCATAACTCAGGAAACGGCTTTTTGGAGAACAATAGACTATTTGTCCCCAGCATTGATATTTTTGCTGTGGCACTGTACGATACTTAATCTAGAACGCTATATATCTAAAACGGTGTGGAACCAGACCCTTATGTTACCAGGGATCTCGGGATATTGCTGCCCGCTAGTCCTACATAAGTATCCTAATCTACGACTAAAAAGTTGACACCTTTGGTTAGTTTGCATAGCTTTATATCTTCTGGCGGCAAGTGGGTTCCTCGTTTACTTCATGGGGTGCAAGGTTGCTATACATTGAAATGTGTTGTACAAAGAAAATATGTATGTAATAAAATAAGTCCAAGAAGTTAGCAAACAACCCAAGTATGAGAAAAAATGTCAGTGGCGTGATACAAGGCAGAATCCACACCTGAATTAGACAGATATATGGCTCAACCTCA